CACAAAGCTGATTCCAAATGCTGCATGTCTGAGTTGGCATGTCCACAGCCTGGGTCGTCCAATGAACAGCAGTGAACAAAGAAAGCACAATTTGAGTGACAGCAGTACCTGGAAACTAAGTTCTGAATTGTTGGCACGTACTATAGGTGTTCTGTGATGGTAGATAAAGATCCCTAGAACAACAGCACATATACATGTGCCCAGCAGTGAGGTTGCTGTCAGACAAATACCCAGAGGCTCATGGTAGGACAGAAACTCTGTCTTCTTACGAATACAGTGGTCATGCTGGGGGTTTGACCAAAAATCCTCTGGACAACTGATGCACTCCAAGGAGTCTGGCAAAAGGAGAAATATCAAGAAAGCAGAAGATGATGAAATGCATACTATATTTAATATGAATGAAAATAAATATATTGTGCTGAAAAAAAACAAAACACCTTACTGGTCTCATTAGTGACTTTTCCCTCAGAACAAGGGATGCAGTCAAAACAGCATTTGGGTTCCCCCTTCTTTCTCACCATGTGGGTACCAGAAAGACAGCTCTCACTGCATACTGATCGAGGTGGCTATTGGATGAAATTAAATATTACATATAAATATACTGTACAACTGACAAAATATAAAAATCAGAAAAACACATAACCTTTTTTGTAATAAAGTTCCAGAAAATCTTGTCTTCATCAAGTATGAGTTCTTCACCGTTTAAAGCTGAACTCTTAACCTCACCCACATTCTGAACTTTCGTGCTTCCATCAGGGAGCCACAACCAGTTCATCACATCATAAATTGGCACCACATCACCATTTTCATCAAATGACACTTGATCCCCAAATGGAGTGGTGAAATTTACCCTTTCCAAGTAATAAAGAAGCTGTTAAAAAGGGATTCATAAGAAATAAATTATTTTTAACAATCCAAACAGTGGCACCCTGTATTTGATAGCAAAATGGAATACATATAAACGTAATAAAATCAAATTCTATATTAAAGAGGGCTCCTTAATATGTAATATCTTTAACAATTTCAAGAACTATAATGATACATTACATGCATACTTGTTAAAGTGCTCTGATCTAAATATTTTAAACACTTCTTTTACTCAGAAATATTGAAAACTCATTTAGCTCACTTCAGCCTTTTCATAATTAATTTAATCACCCTGCTTTTAGTCATACAAGGTAAATTTTGTTCTGAAAGTAATTACAGAGCAAAGAATTTACTCATAGATTGATATCTAATTGACATAGTGTGTAAATTCATATCACACCTGCCATGGCTGCAGTGATTGCAAAGTGGCACAGCTTTGCCCACTGAAAGGCCCTCTTCCTGGGTTGCACTGCAGCATGTCATCAAGGGAATATGCCAGTGCATAAACAGCTTTATACACATTGTACTCAGGCCGGAGGTTGGAAATGTCCAAGATCTCAGTGTTAACATTTTCTAGATCTTCCTGTCCAGTGCATAATGCACCTCCACCTTCCACCCAGCCTGCTGGAGCTGGTGCAAATCTGCACTGAAATGTAAATTCCCAAAACTGATTCACCTGAAATATATTGTTGACAACTGTTTTTTCTTTTTTCTTTTCCATTTAAAAAAACATGGCATAATGAAATTCTTGTCAACATCACGGTAACATTTCAACTCCCACCATGCTATTTCCATTGTTATTGTTGTGATGTAGGTCAGGACGTATTTGTAATAGGAATTCTCTGAGCCCTGGTATTTCTCCTCGACGAATAGCAATGCCCAGTGTACCACCCAGGTATGGCATGAACTGAGGTGTTTGGAGCACACCAGCTGTTGCTGTCCAGCCTTCACTGGCCATCCACTGTAGACTTGTTACATTCTCCTTCACTACCTGTGCATTATATTTTACCGAATGCAAAAAGTGATGTAACTATCCCCTACTTTTGTGACATTAACATCCAACTTAGGTATTTGCTATAAATTGTTATATGTTATAAATTGTTTCTTTACGTTTCTGTAGTCATTCAATTAAAGACATAATACATCTTTTACACAGTGTATAGATACAGATCTTTATAACAAGAAATAATCAAGTTTTCTTTTAAACTTCACCTCTTCCATAAGGTTTATCATGTGACTCTCATGTACAAAGGCAATGACCACACGAGCTGTTGATTTTTTCATCACATTCACAATCCTCCTGAGTTCATCCGTGTCTTTGTCCCAGGGTAAAACTTCAATGTAGTCTAGGCACCCTTCACCAGACAAACTTAGCTCGAATTGTAAGGATCTGGCAGCGTGGCGTCCATAATCATCATCACTGATAAGCAGACCTGCCCAAGTCCAGTCGAAATGTTTTAGAATTTTAATTATAGCACGTACCTAAGTGAAAGCAACATGAGAAACATGAGAAAACATGAGAGCATAGATAATAAGAAAAATTTTAGTGGATTAGCCGCTCATCATCTACTGGCAATTGTAATAATTCTGCTGATTGAATTTTACCTGGAAAGCATCACTTGGGATTGTCCTAAAGAAGGATGGATATTTTCGATGGTCACTCAAACAAGAACATGTGGCAAAATAACTCACCTGTGAAAGATACAGACAATATATTTTAGAAATATTCAAAGTCTTTACTGCCTCCTTTAAACTGGGTATTGCGTACATTGGTCTTGTCATTAAATTTACAATAAAATCAATAACTGTCACTCAAACAGGAAAATGTGGCAAAATAACTTACGTGTGAAAAACAAAGACTGTATATTGTACATTGTTATTGTCATTAAATTTACATTTAAGTCAGTATATACAAACACTGAAAAAATATATAAAGTCATACAACAATAATATGGTATAGTTAAACTGAAAACTTACTATCGGTACTCTGTATAAACCTAAGACACTGGAGATGGCAATAGAAGGTGTAGAGGAAGAATCACCCACAATCCCTAGAACAGGAGGATTTCCAGTACATGTATCATTTGATATAATCTGCTCCTCTTGACCACCGACTAATGATAATGCTCCACGGAATCCAATTCCAAGTTCAACACAGTTGTCATAAAGAGTGTATCCCAGAGTCACATTAGGTAACAGGTTGGCATTTCTGTTGATTTCATCAATAGCAAATGCCATGGTTTGTGCCTGCCTAAATCCTTGTACATAGAAACTAACAAAATAAATTTAAATTAAAAAATATATCAGGAAAAATGTTGCAAAATGACTGATGAAAAAATTAAGAAAACTGAATAATAATTTATGAGATATTTTATTTGAAAAATCAAGAAGATTCTCCATTCAATATACAGGCCTTATTGATGTATGCACTAATGCATAGAATTTATGCATTTTATGCATTAACCCACATATTGGCATTAAGTTGTTCTGGGGATTTTTTGTGCCATTTTCCTGTCATACTTACCCATGGCAAGTAGGTTGTTGTGGCTCTGAGGTAAAAGATGGATAAGGAACACTTGAGAAAAAGTGGACTGGAAACAGTCCACCCAGAATGATATCTCCAACCTTGTTCATTCCATTTAGATGAAATTGTCCCTGCAGCTGACACGAGGAGGGAAACAGAGAAGAGGATACAGTATAAGTGAAGTAGGAATACAATAAAATGACCAGGACCAAATTGGTTTGTAAAAATGAACACATGACAGCTTTCTGGTTTTCTGAGCCTAGTTGTGGCATTTTATTCCTTTCCCATTCCCTTTTAATAGCATGCTGTGTTGACTATTCTTTTATAACGCCCATCAGGGAAAAAGATGAAGAAAGGGGTGGATCTCAAATACATTTGGTCATATACTGTTGTTGTATCCAGGTAGGCTTAGGTAACATGAGCATGTTGTGTGTGTGGAATGTTTTGTAGCACACACAAAACAAAAGAAACAGTTTTTTTGTGCTTTGTGCTAAGGCTCAAGACTAAGACACCAGATATTCTCATTCAAGCGCCTTCCCCAGGCCTGGCTCCAGAGTGGGGCCCAGGCAGGGTAGACTGATCCCTTGATTCCTATCATAGGGGTCAACTGAATCAGTCTTCATCTGGCATCTCACCCAGGACTAGGTTGCCTTGGGAAACCCTACCAGTGGGCAATAAAATAGCATAGCCCCTGAGTTCACGGGATCATACAAATCCCTCCATTGCAGCAAGCCGGTGATTTGCAGAGGGTTTTAGTTTTTATTTATTTATTTTTTTGAATGACACACTAAGTAAATTTCACTGTGCAAAAGTATTTGTTTCTGTTTCCTGAGCCCATCTGATGGATGAGTTAAACCAGGGGTGTCAAGTGTAAGACTTGGTGGCCATAATCAACCTGGCAAAGATTCCAATCAGCCCACTGGTCAAGGTTGGAAAATATGTCGTCCATAAATGTATACATTTATGGACTTTTAAAAGTATTTTTTTATTGGTTTTACAGCTTTTCCTACTGATTAAAACCTCCCCGGAAGCCATTCATACTATACCAAAGTAATTAAGTAATAGATAGGTTTCTATATAGGTTCCTGTTTGTATCTCTCTGATATAGAAATTTTGATTTAAAAAGACATCAATAAAGAAAACTGTTATGTGTCAAAAATACAGGACACTTTGGGCGTTAAGCTACCAGAACCTTTTCTGTAATTTTACACATTATAAAATGTAAAATGATTTTGACATCCCTGAGTTAGAGGCTAACCAGGCATGACAGGTGGGTGGTAAACAAGCAAGCAGTTAAGTTACATAGCACTTTCAGACAACTCCCAGTTGAAAACAAAGTGCTGTACACTTGACATGACAAAAAATATGATACATTAGTGAAGTCCACTCTGCCATCCTCACCACCTGCTGCAGTTTCCTCTTGTCCTCCATAGTACAGCAGTTAAACCAGAGTGTGCGTCAGTAGGTCAGTTCTCCCACTTAGAAATCATGGAGGGGTCTGAAATTCACATTGTAGGTGCATTGCCACTGTGAGAGACCGCATTTAAAAAAACAATTCAGGAAATCTCATTGTGTGATTTTTAACGAATTTATTTATATAGCACTGCTGCAAATAAGTATTTGAACACCTGGCAATCAGCAAGAATTCTGGCTCTCAAAGACCTGTTTCTATGCCTTTAAAAAGTAGAGCAATTGTCAGAAAATGGAAGAGGCTAAAGACGACTGTCAGGCTGGGGCTCCATGCAAGATTTCACCTCAAGGAGTATCACTGATGACAAGAAAGGTGAGGAATCAGCCCAGAACTACACAGGAGGAGCTGACCAATGATGACCACATGAAGAGAGCTGGGACCACAGTTTAAAAGGTAACTGTCGGTAGAACACTACGCCATCATGGTCTCAAATCATGCATTGCAGGGAAGGTTCCCCTGCTCAAGACATCATCCAGGCCCATCTGAAGTTTGCCAGTGACCATCTGGATGATCTAGAAGAGGCATGGGAGAAAGTCATGTGGTCAGATGAGACCAAAATAGAACTTTTTGGAATAATCTTCACTCGCCATGTTTGAAGGAAAACAGATGAGTTGCATTCCAAGAACACCATTCCTACTTTGAAGCATGGGGGTGGAAACATCATGCTTTGGGCGACAGCACTGTATTAAGGAGAGGATGAATGGGTCATGTATTGTGAGATTTTGAGCAACAACCTCCTTCCCTCAGTCAGAGCATTGAAGATGGGTCCTGGCTGGGTCTTCCAACATGACAATGACCCGAAGCACACAGCCAGGATAACCAAGGAGTGGCTCTATAAGAAGCATATCAAGGTTCTGGAGTGGCCTAGCCAGTTTCCAGACCTAAATCCAATAGAAAATCTTTGGAGGGAGCTGAAACTCCATGTTGCTCAGCAACGTGACAGATTTAGAGGACATCTGTGTGGAGGACTGGACCATAATTCCTGTTGCAGTGTGTGCAAAACTGGTCAAGTACGAGAAAAGTTTGACCTCTGTAACTGCAAACAAAGGCTTTTATATCAAATATTAACACTGATTTTCTCAGGTGTTTAAATACCTATGTGCAGCAGTGCTATACAAATACATTCTTTAAAAATCATACAATGTGATTTCCTGAATTGTATTTTAAATGCTCTCTCTCACAGTGGGAATGCACCTACAATTAGAATTTCAGACCCCTCCATGATTTCTAAGAAGGACAACTTGCAAAATCTCAGAGTGTTGTTAGGATTTAAATATATATTCTTGTATAAGAATATTCTTTTATAAGTTAAAAATGTGACAGCAAAGAAAGTGTAAAAAGGCATACTACTGTTATGTTCAACAGCTGTCTCAATAAAATAGATAATAATAATAAATATATATTCTTAATGCTTATTTTCTGATTATATTGTTTTATGTATTTTAAATCAGAGTCCACTGGGTCCATTGCGTGTCTTCGCGCCCCACGGGTCTTGTCATTCTGTCAGGCATCGCGGTGTGGAGAGAAGGAAGAGAGAACCCAAATGCAGGACTCACGGGTTAGTGTGGAATGAAGATGATGTTTATTTTAAGGATAGAGAGAACAGAATATGAAACGGACTACCTGACTGGCTGAATGGTTGGCTGGCTGAACAGAGAACACACTCACGGAATCAAAAATGACAAGACAGTGGACAGGAAGAAACTGAGGGCTTAAATACACTGATGATGATTAGAGACCAATGAGTAAACAGCTAAACATAATCTGATTAATAACACATAGGAAGTAGAACTAGACATGATGCACATAGACAAAGCTGGCACAGTAAAACAGAAAACATGAACATGTGGAAAATAAACAGAACCTGAACAAACTTAAAACACTGGGTCAATGACCCAGGAACCCTGACAGATATAGCTAAATTATGTCTAAAGTTAAATTTAACAATGTAGTGTCATAGAGTCAATGCTTGCACATTCTAGCATACACAGTAAAGGAGAAATCCAAACTTTCTTTATATGTTCTCACTTTTATATTTTATTTAATATATTTATATAAATGTATATTCACCATGTGTATTTTTATATTGCATGTGGAAAATGTTTTTTTATGATTGAGTGCCACGGCCCATTATAACTTTTTTTGTGTTCATCTCTGGTCTCAACAGGATGATGTAACATTTGGGCCCAAACAGTGCGACTAACAGGCCGAAGCTTGAGGCTAAGATCGCAAATACCTCCACTGCATCTGCATGGTTTCCAGGTGAGCTGATATAAGCAGGAACAAAGGTCACCCACACAGCACAGAAGATCAGCATGCTGAATGTGATGAGCTTGGCCTCATTAAAACTATCAGGGAGATTCCTTGCCAGGAAAGCAATTAAAAAACTGAGGAAAGCCAGCATGCCAATATAACCCAATAACACTCCAAAACCAACACTAGACCCAATTGAACACTCATAAATGATCTTATCATTGTGGTATTGGGTGTTTTTATTTGGAGTAGGAGAAGCAGAAACAAGCCAGGCAGTGCAGATGACTACTTGAATAGATGTAAGAAACAGAATTGTTCCTCTCTGCTGCATAGCACCAAACCACTTCAGACTGGTTCCCCCTCCTGGCTTGGAGGCTTTGAAAACAGCCAGAACAACCATGGTTTTTACAAGGATGCAAGAGACACACAGCACAAAGCTGATCCCAAATGCTGCATGCCTGAGTTGGCATGTCCAAAGCCTGGGTCGTCCAATGAACAGCAGTGAACACAGGAAACATAACTTAAGTGACAGCAGTAGCTGGAAACTAAGTTCTGAATTATTGGCACGCACTATAGGTGTTCTGCGATTGAAGAAAAAGATCCCTATAACAACAGCACATATAATTGTTCCCAGCAAAGAGGTTGCTGTTAAACAAAATCCCAGAGGCTCATGGTAGGAAAGAAACTCTGTCTTCTTGGGAACACAGTGGTCACGCTGGGGGTTTGACCAAAAATTCTCTGGACAACTGGTACACTCCAAAGAATCTGACAATAGAAGCTAAGATGGTGAAATGCATTTTACATTTAATATAAATTAAATAAAATATGCAAAGACAAGCACTTACTGCTCTTATTGTTTATTTTTCCCTCGGAGCAAGGGATGCAGTCAAAACAGCATTTGGGTTCTCCCTTCCGTCTCACCATGTGGGTACCAGGAGGACAGTTCTCACTGCATACTGATCGACCTGGCTGTTAGACAAAATTAATATTACCTGCTAGAATTACATATATTGTCCAAATGAGAAAAATGAAAAATATACATATTGGAAAAGATAAAAGCATACAAAAACCTTTCTGGATTTAAAGTTCCAGAAGATTTTGTCTTCATCAAGTATGAGTTCTCCACCTTTGAAAGCTGACCTCTTAACCTCACCAACATTCTGAACTTCAGTGCTTCCATCAGGGAGCCACAACCAGTTCATCACATCGTAAATTGGCACCACATCACCATTCTCATCAAATGACACTTGATCACCAAATGGAGTGGTGAAGTTTACCCTTTCCAAGTAATAAAGAAGCTGTTAAAAACAGATGTATAAGAATTAAATTACTTTTAACAATGTAAACTGTGGCCCTGCTGTTCAGTAGTCAGATATTAGAGCTATTAAATTTGAATATAGGAATTCATTGCTTTTAAACAAGGCCTATAGTAATGCGACATACTTATTCCATTAATGGGTTCTCTGATCTAATTACAGTAACCACTACTTTTGCTCAGGGGAAAATATAATCCTCAATCCAGCTTTTTCATAGTTAATTTTATAGCACTGCATTTTGCCTTACAGGGAAAATTCTTTTCTAAATGTAATTACAGAGCAATCAATTTAGACAAAAAGTGTAACCTGATATCACACCTGCCATGGCTCCAGTGTTTGTAATGTGGCACAGCTGTTCCCACTGAAAGGTCCTCTTCCAGGCTTGCATTGCAGCATCTCATCAAGGGAATATGCCAGAGCATAAACAGCTTTGTACACATTATACTCAGGCCGGAGGTCGGAAATGTCCAAGAACTCATTGTTCACATTTTCCAAATCTTCCTGTCCAGTGCATAATGTACCACCCCCTTCTACCCAGCCTGCTGGAGCTGGTTCAAATCTGCACTTAAATGTGAATTCCCAAAATTCATTCACCTGAAATATTATGAAAACTATTTTAGATGTTATACATAATAAAATATGCAATTCCTGCAAATACCACAGTAAAGGGTTTAACCCTCACCATGCTATTTCCATAGCTATTGTTGTGATGCAAGTCAGGACGTATTTGTAACAGGAATTCCCTGAGCCCTGTTATTTCTCCTCGACGAATAGCGATGCCCAGTGTACCACCCAGGTATGGCATGAGGTGAGGTGTTTGGAGCACAACAGCAGTTGTCCAGGCTTCACTGGCCATCCACTGTAGGCCTGTTACATTTTGCCTCACCACCTGTGCATTATGTTTGACAAAATGTATAAACTCATATTGTAAGTAGCAACTAATTTAGTGACATTATGAATTCTTCATTACTAGTTTTCTCTACTCAATCAATATATAAAGACACAATGCATCTGTTACACAGTGTAGTGATGCAAATCTGTATAGCTAGTAAAGATTTAACACTTTTAAATCCAAACCTCTTCCATAAGGTTTATCATGTGACTCTCATGTGCAAATACAATGACAACTTGAGCTGTGGATTTTTTCATCACATTTACAATCCTCCTGAGTTCATCTGTTTCTTTGTGCAAGGACAAAATTTCAGTGTAAGCCAGGCAACCTTCACCAGACTGACTTAACTCAGACTGGAAGGATCTTGCTGCATGGAGTCCATAGTCATCATCACTGACAAGCAGACCTGCCCAAGTCCACTTGAAATGTTTTAGAATCTGAATCAAAGCATGAACCTAAGTGAATACAGATTAAAACGTGAATGCATAGACAAGACAAAACTTAGTTATTCATTAGTTACTGATGACTGTTTATAATTGTGCTGATCGGTTTTCACCTGGAAAGCATCACTTGGGATCGTCCTAAAGAAGGATGGATACTTTTTACGGTCACTCAGACAGGAACATGTGGCAAAATAACTCACCTGTGAAAGATACAGACTGTATATTGTAGAAATATTCAAAGCCTTGACTGCCTCCTTACATTTTTTAAGCTTCAATCTGGTCATTAAATTTACAATTAGGTCTATATATTTATATTAAATATAACCAAAAATAATATTTCATGGTTAAACTGGAAACTTACCATAGGTATGCTGTACAAACCTAAGACAGTGGAGATGGCAATTGAACGCGTAGAGGATGAATCACCCACAATCCCTATGACTGGAGGATTTCCAACACATGTATTATGTAATATAATTTGATCATCTTGACCACTGGCTAATGACAATGCTGCACGGAATCCAATTCCAAGTTCAACGCAGTTATCATAAAGAGTGAATCCCAGAGTCACATTTGGCAATAGGTTGGAGTTTCTGTTGATTTCATCAATAGCAAAGGCCATGGTTTTTGCCTGCCTAAATCCTAGAACATCAAAACTAACAAAAAAACACAGTCTGCTATTGAAACATATAGCTGGATACCTGCAAAAGATTTTGCAACCATACACGTTTTGCAACTACTCAAATGAAAAGAACAGAAACAATTAAAGTAACATGCTAAATGACAAAAATAAAGAAAGTTCATATTGCAAGATGTGTGTATTTGTTCTTAATGCCACTGTTGGCAGTGATTTCCCAAAGTCTTTTCTGCTGTTTCACTGCCATACTTACCCATAGCAAGTAGGCTGTTGTGGCTCTGAGGTAAATGACAGGTCAGGGAAGATTGAAAAGAAGTGAACTTCAAACAGTCCTCCTAGGATCAGATCTCCACTTTTTTGAATGCTATTTAGACTGTAACTGTCCACGTGACTGGCAGGAGGAGGAAGACAAAGAGGCTGCAGTAAAAGAAAAGTAACAATATAACAAAATGAACAAGAGCAAATTGGCGTGTACAAGTGACAACATGACTATTATCTGCTTTTCCCCTTTTCTCAGCCCAGTCATTAGGTTTCATGGCGTTGCAATTCCTTCTTATTGACATGCAGTATTGTAAATAACCTATCAGAGCAGACAGCAGATGGGCAGGGCCTATAATACATTTCATTTGAGATCAGTTTTTATTGATGCAGATGCTATGACTGAACATACACTCACTTGCGACTATGCAGGTTAGAGAGTTAGAAAGTTTAAAAAAAATTGTGTTTTTTTTTTTAACAAGTGCAGTAAAAGGGGGGAGAAATATTCTTGCAGTTAAATCATTGAGACATACAGTGAGCAAATGAATAAATAAATAAATTTAAGACCATAATCTGAATAAATGTACAAGAACCTTCTATATTAACCCTTTAAGACCTACCATAGAACCAAGTCCGCAAGTTGATATACATCAATACAAACATTATATCCCAAATTTTAATAATATGTATGCATTAAGTCCATACTAGCTACATAAATTGCAAAAATGTGCAATAAACTACAAAAAAATTGAAAATTGATTTTGTTTTTTTAACATATATTTCTAGTTAGAGAAATTTCAGAGGTTTATCCCTCAAAACTGTAAATGCAAAAAAGTTGCACAAAATAGTTTCCAACCACAGGAAATTCATTTTGAATGTCTTTATAGTTTTATTTTTGAGATACACCAATTTTTATATACTGGAGGGAAAACGAAAATAAATATTATAATGCGAATATGCAAAAAAACAAAAAAACAAAAAAAACAGCATGTGCATCAAAATAAACAATTTCCAACAATATAATTTGAGTTCTAAGTTTCCCAGAGACTATACAGAAAGGCATAAACTCAAACATTAATTTTAAAACCACCAGCATATCTTTGTTTTCCGCGAAAATGACGTCCCTTCCGTTTACGGGCAGATAATGGCAAACATCAGATAGATTGTGCTGACGTTTATTCCAACATAGGAAGTGTTATGAACAGCTGATCAGTTGGCAAAGCGTGTTTCTGGAATATTGTCTTTTTGTTGCTGCAAATGCTTTTTAGCAATTTTTGCAAAGACATATTTGGAAGAAAACCGTGACGTAGGACAAGCTGAATGCATAAGATTTAGGCTACGTTCACACTGCAGGCAAAAGCGCATCAAATCTGATTTTTTTTGACCCTATGCGACCCATGTTGTAGCTCAGACAGAGGTGAAGAGGCGAGTCACAGGTGACTGACTGATGATTTTGGTGCTATAGATTAACTAGTATTTATTATCATGACAATTGTTAGGCTGCTGATGTAAATTGTTTCATTAGTGTATATTTGACAAACAATCTGAATTGACATGTCTCACTTTTTATATGGCATGAATCAATGTGTTATTTTATCAGGTGGCAATATGTCCTAGTGCAGTCAGAGGGGAAGAGCCAGGACCAAAGGTGAGGCACATCAAGCACATAATAATAATTTTAATCTGAGGATAAAACGCATGTACTGAGGCTGAAAGAAGCTTCAGTGCTCTCAGAAGACTAAAAAGATGGCTAAGGTCCACCAGGAGAGACTGGACAGTATAGATGTAAAACAAACATGCCAGCAGTTTATCTCAGTTAACAAGAGGAGCAGGCCTGTGTTTGGCTGCTTCACGTAGTCCACATTGAGTTGTTGTGTGGGACACCAGTAGTCCATGTCTGTTGCTGTAACAGTAGTTCAAGTTTGGAATAAAAAATCTCAGCCCACTGATTTGATAGGAGCAATAGTGCCTAAACTGTTGCATAATTTT